TCCTGCTGCAGCCCCTGGAAGTTGGTCCTCATTCGTGTAGGAACAAGCTGAGCCTCAGGGCTAAAACCGACAAAAGAAATTTTCGAAATATTGGTTTTTTATTGATTTTTTTCTGTCTGATGTTTAAGTTTCTGTTTCAGTCTCTGCACTCTCTTCTTTTATTTATACCTATCAATTAATTACCAAATAAGTAAATTTAGGTTTTAGCCATAAAAAAACTTTCACTTTTGGAAAAAGTCAAAGCTTTTTCAAAAAAGACAAAAAAACCTCTCAACTTTCAAGTCAAAGACATGCAAATGTAAATGATTCCTTAGGAAATCTAAAAATAAATAAGGGCAATTTTGTCCATTTTGGCTTCTTTTAAAAAATTTCTCTCTCCTTTTGCTTTTTCCAAAGTCTCCCTAAAAAATAATTAATCTTTACCAAATAAAAAGTATATTATTAAAATAATATTAGACAAAATATTCTGTTTATCCCCAGAAATAATTTTTTTATTTTGGGTTTTGTTATTGTGACCATGCTCATAGCCTTCGCAAGATGGCGGCCATGATTTTTATATGGTTGGCACTGAAAAAAATATTGGAGAGGAAAATTGTTATGGCAATTTTTTCTTTGATTGTATTATAAGAAATTAGGTTGAGTATGAGAGATTCTCATGTAGAGGTGGCGTACTCTCTCACAAAAAGTTGGGTGTCGGAGTTGGGACACATGCAATGCTTAATTTTTGTGAGAGAACTACCGCATGGGACAGCCCTACACAAGATTTATTCATACGTTTTATTAATGCTTGCTTAACAAAGTCATGAGAAATTCAAAATTGTACGAGACAATCAAAAGAAGCCTCTCTAGCTTGATTTATCATGGCCTCTGTGACTAAAATTTCAACTATTCAAGGACCAAAAGTATCAAACATAAAGAGTATTTCTCTAGAATCAAGTACGGGGAAAACGATATTTCAAGGTTGGACTCAAAAGAGGCACCATCCATCTGACTGCACAACCTAACAAAATTCACTACTATACGAAATCCTTTGGTTTGTGAAGAAACCATTAAACAAAAAGAATATAAGAGAAACCGTGATCCTAACAAGTTGCTATCCAAAATCCTTTTGGTTTGGTCATTTCACATTGCTGCCATCATGGTACTTCTTGCTGCCTCACGCTTCACCTCTTCAGCCTTTCCACTGCCTCTGAAATACGTGTATACTTGCTGCGAATACGATACGATGCAAGAAGAGTAAGTTTCTCCAAAGAGGGGAAGAAAAACGACAGAGTAAATCCAGGAGAAAAATGCAAGTCCATTCATCATCTAACCTGAATAACCCAGATGCTGAGAACTGTTTCACAGACGAACAGCCCAAATCCAATGAAGTAAAGTATCTGAAATGAAGAAACAAAGTCTTCACGGGGTCATCAACTCAAAATAAAACTTCAAGATCAAACCACTGTCATAGCAATCTAACAGTTTTAGTTCTTTCCATCATATTGAAACTCTCATCACTAACACCACTAGATTGTTGCCTAGCTGAAAAACAGACTTGTCTCTGTTGCAATTATTGAAGGAGAATATCCAAGCCAACATGGAATAAAGAAAGCTCGAAACTTACCCCAACCGCAGCATTGTAACCCAGCAGTTCTATTGCAGGCAAAATACCTCTGTACACAAGATCACACCAAAGAAAAATCAGTTTCAGGAGGATATATGATTAGCATATATTTGTGATTAATAGAAGAAGATGTACTACTAGAAGAAGGCAAGGTTGTCTATTGGGAGAAAATTTTAGATGACAAGATCTGCAGGACATTATCATGTTGGATACTCATTTGTACTTATTCCCCCTTCATAAACGAAAGAGCTAATGTAACAGTAGTCATTAGTAAATCCCGTAGACTGCACAGTTAAGAAAACTTACGTGATAGATTTCCCTTTGAAGACAATTGGAGGAGCAATTGCAGCATAGACACAAAACGCAATGTGGAGCTGCAAATAGAGAATCAGGGCATAGAAGTGAGCCAATTTTCACATCATCTTGAATGCAGAAAATATAACTTTAATAAGAAACAAAAATGTACGTACGAGATAAGACAAGAAAAACCCAGCAAAACTCAGAGCACTATCAGTCCTGTAATAGACAGCACACAATTACAAGTATGAATCCTAAACAAAAAGTATAAGATAAAAGATATGTTGGACAAATGTTGTAGAAAGTGCAGAGTCATCGAAGTGATCATTTGCATAGGCCTGAAGCCTCATATACAGTTTTTGCATAGTGATGACAATAAGGTCATATCCATAGAATCATATGTACCTCATAGCACGATAAAGCGGGCGATACCAGAGGAAATAGGATAGCGGAACACTTGCTATGAAGTAGATTACAGCCAGAAGCCAAATTATTGGACCTGCAAGCAGATAAAAGTTCAGACTAAATCATGAAATAGTTTATTTATAATGGTTAATGGGTCTACACTAAGTCACAGATCAAACCTTCTCCTTTGAACCAGGCTACGGTAACTGCCAGAATATTCCACAGAAGACACACAATCAAACCTGAAAAATGCCATAAGCTTAGTCAACTTAAGCAACCACAGAAAAATTTGATTGAATTAATTAGAAGATCTTTTTGTACAAACAATTTTTAACTCAAAACTACTAAAGTCAATACAAAGAAAAGAGCGAGAAACAAAAAATCTACAATCAAATATCATCTGGCCATTGAAACACCTATGCCGACTATCACAAAAGAAAAGAAATAAAAATTAACATACCCAGATATGTTGTGAACGCAACATACTGGATCCTCTGTAGATGGATTGGTATTTCGTTTGCAATGTCATGATGGATGATGGGGAAAAATGGAGGCCAGTTTTTCTCCTCTATAACAACTCCAGCTGCCGAAAAAAGAAAAAGAAATGGGAAATTACAAATTGTACTTTGGTGTCATATACTCTCTCAAGCACATATCAGAAAATGGATAAACCTCGTGCTATGGCGTCTTCCCGCCGCTTTAGTTCCTGAAAAGAGATGATGGCATTATGAATTCCACTTACTAAATACAAAACTAATTTTTCTAAAAGCATACATTTCTCAACTAAAATCAATGTTGCACGTCAAAATATAAACTTGCATCTGAAGTGGATTTTTCTTGTTGTCATGGCAACAATTTCTAACATGCCTTGGTACAGAAGAGGTGCCTCAAATGAACCTAAATATCGACATACCCACAATAAATTGATAATTACTATAAAAATAACGGTCTGGGACTCCGTTTACAAGATTATCAATTATATTTTATAAGCCCTTTGCAAGCATCATATGAGTTATAATGGGCAATTACCTGTTCCTTCTTTTTCAATTCAACCTCTTTTGCGTGGAGTTCCTTCTCCTTTGCTTGTAAACTCTACAGTAACAAAAATAATAAGGAACAAGAAATCATTGCTCGTTGACAAAAATAAATCATTGATCATAAATGACAGATAGAAAACTTTAAAATATGATTCAACATCTTGCATATGCTGAACAACCTTTGAATTATCAAGAGGAATATCAATTGTTGCATTGCGATCATAGGGTTCAGGAGGAAGAGGTGAAAGCCTCGAGTTTGCAGGGGGGACACTTCCAGGATTCTAGAAATTTAGCAAAACGCAATAAGATGAAGATTACAAAAAGGGAAAGAAAAAAAAAAATTTCATCTTTGCAGAAATCATCTTTACAGAGTCAGCACATGAGGCAAGCACAATCACCCCAACAATCCACATGAACCCATTCAGATGCTTGAGTTCTACGTAACCCCCCCAAAAAAAAGGCCTAAGATCCAAACCTTCTAGTTGTTTCCCTTTTCTCTGTTTTCTAACCAACTAAACTGACCATTGAATAACAGAAACAAAGAAACTAGAGATGAACATAACTACACAACCTACATTGTGGGTTTCAATTCACCGTGGAATCAAATACCAAACAGAGACCCAAACCAGTGAAATGAAAAGACATTGAAGATTTAGCACTATAAGCCAGGATTTCAACATATCATCATTTCCAAATCCCAAAGGATCATGTACATGTAAATACACAGACACATACAGAAATCGCGATTGAAGATAGAGACTTCTGTCTATAGATACAAAAACACGTATACGTAAATGCAGGTCTGTATCGGAACTCACCGCAAATGGATTGACCTCGTCATCGGCGAAAGGGTTAGAATCGTACCGATTCATGGGAGCGATCCAAGCTCTGGTGACTGTGAAATGACAATGGGCTCTAAATCGGGAATGTGAGAGTCAGAGTTTTCGGTGATAAGGATCGTCGAACATGGAAAAATGAGAGAGACGTTGTTTTATTGTTTTATTTTTTTGGGTGTGGTTATTGGTTTTAAGGAACGAGAGACGAAGAGAGGCCCTTGGAGCGTACGGCCTTCGTTTTAGTGGAGCTGTTTGTTTCCTGGGAAAATTGAACCAGAAAATCAGAGACGAGATTATAAAGGGTGTTGGGCGGGGAAGGCCTGTAACTTAATACTGTACGTGGCGTGGGGCCTTTAAGAGAATATTTCAGACAATAAAAAATGGGGCAAAACTATATTTTAATAATATTTATTTCTCTACAGTAAGATTTGGAGACAATTTTTTTAAAATATTTTTAAATCGGTTTTTAATATATTTAGTGGTATTTATAATTTATATACATTATAAGACTGTCACGCTCACAATGTTTATTATTTATAATGTATTGTCGAAAATAAATAAATATTTGAGAAGCAAATATCTATAGAAGGAAAAGGAGGAGATATTCGCGCTTAACCCTTGTGGTGGCCTTGCACTGTTGGAGTGCATTGAGGGAGCGTGAATAGCGGTCATTAAGTAAAACCACAATTCACTGAGGTAACAAATTAGTTTTAACACCAATCAAAAGTGGCATCAATTAACCGCTGGTTATAATTAACTTCTAATCCTCAAGACAGTAATTGACCATGATAGTCAAGGAGCTCCCAATCTTCAAGGAGCTAATTGTGCATTAGTTGGATTGGATTAAACCACAATTACGGTCATATTATCTTTTGCATTTGTATACATGGGTTAGGTTAGGCCTGTTGATCAGGACAATGAGTCCACCTTCCTCACACTCACAGTTCTCATACATGAAAATCCAGATGCCGAATTCAATAGTTGAGAAAAGTGCTAGCATCAGTCGGGGTATGAATGAGTGTAGGGCCCACATTGCCATGTTAGATGACTTCGCCGCTGGTGCAGTCAGAAGATGTTGCTAAAATAGTAAAACTACACAGGCAAATGCCCTAACAACCTGAAATGGCGAAGAAAATCGAATTTAACCAATCCTTTACAAAGCTCATGATGTATATGTGTTATAAAATGGAATAGATTACATTTTGAATCGGTAGAAACCAAGTTCGTGAGGCATCACAGAGCTAGCTGAAAACGTTTCACTACCAAGAATTTATAGTGACAATTGACAAATAATAATAGCTAAACAATTGGGTTAGCTCAACTTTGCAGGACAGACAAACAATAGAATGACCACAGAGTATTGAACACCAAAATCGGACTGTTGGAATGTTCACATCCAGAACTTTGTGCAGCTGGTCGCAGTAAAGAAGTGCGACGCAGATATTGGTGGTGTAAGTTTGGAGCCATCATCTGCAGCCTGTTTACAAAGTATGTATCTTCTTGGTTCTAGCAGTAGTCACAACCAACGCACCCCCCATCATTGATAATCTGGTCATTAGGTCTTCATTTCACAAAAAGTCAATCTTCACTTGATCCACTGCCTTGAGGCTCTCGCCGTATCATGTCTAATAGGTCTTGCACGACTTCAGACATCAGTGGCCTGAACTCTGGCTCCGACTGTAAAATACAATTCACATTTTTAGGATTATAGTTCTCTTTGGAGTCGAGGCGGTGAATAACAACTAAAAGTATAATGGGGCTCACGTCCCACTAATATGGCAAATCAAACTTGTGTTTTTGAGCATTCGAAGCATTCTATCTTTATTGAACAGAGATACCAGGTAAGCTAAGTTTACCAACCCAATGGTGCCCTTTTTGAAGAATATTTTGTCACAAATTCCATAAAACTAAGTCTAACTTAACTTACGATGTCAAAAATGACATTGCTTACCTGAACACATCGAGCTATAATGTCTGCAAAGTTTGATAAAGACTTCGTAGGATATTGTCCATTTAGAGAAGGATCGACCATCCTTGATAATGCATCGATGTCATGAAGCTGAGTAGTGGCCCATCTAACAAGGAATTGCTCCCCTCGATTCCTCGTGCTGTAAACTCAAATTTTCAAATCCAAAAATAAATTAAGCAGGGGTTGGTGGAATAATGCGAGAATGCAATTAAGAACTTGAATTTGCTAGTCTTTCACCTGTCATGGGACTTCCGGCCTGTTAATAATTCCAGCATTACCACCCCAAAGCTGTAAACATCACTCTGATGAGTATAAATTCCTGACTCGAATTCTGGAGCTCCGTAACCATAAGCCGATAGCAGATGTCCTGACAACTGAAAGTACGAAGCAATTTAGTAGTAGTAATAAGTAGTACTGGTGATGACCATAAGTAGTCATCATTCGTTCAATTGTTCCACATTGCAAATCAACCAATAGGAATGACCTAAAGCCTAAGCAGACAATCGAAACACTGCATGCCTTTTGAAAAAGAAGTAATATGGAAGAGTGGTCTGGACATAAGCAAGCTTCAAGATCAGAAAGCGAAATCAACCAACATGAATGACCTAAAGCTACAAAAGCATCTGAGAAATGCAAATCAACCAATACGAATGAGCTAAAGCTACAAAACCATCTGGGAAAGAAAAGCAATATTGGCTCACTTAAGAATGCACAATTACATTCATTTAAAATGCAAAGAAATCATTTACATTCTTACTCTTTCTTTTTCCTAAACAATGCTCATTCTGAAGGCTATTTATATATCTAGACTATATCTATATATAATCACAATGGAGAAAGCATTCACTGAACCAAATTCTCTTGCTATTTAAATCCATGTTGAAGGAATACAATACATGTCCTCCAAAAAAAAACCCTTAAATTGTCAATGTTGGTCTCATGACCCACACTGTTGTAGGAAAAAAATACCTGCAAAAAAAATGTAGAAATATGACTTACCTGACTTACAGAACCTGATGATATCAATGGAGCCAAGCCACAGTCAGAAACGCGCACGGAAAGGTCATCATCAAGGAGAAGGTTGGCAGACTTGAAATTCCTGTGTACAATAGCTGGCTGACAGACCTCATGTAAATACCTACTCAAACAAAACAAAGACAGAGTTATACTCACTGCAGCTCCTATCACCATATGATCAGGGACAAAAAAGGTCTACATGAGTGGGTTCAGAAATTGCCATTGCAATTGGTACTCACTCTAAGGCTCTTGCAGCTCCAAGTGCCATTCTAATACGAGCATTCCATGGCAGTTTCTTCTTAAATTCATCATCTACGTGCAGAGCATCATGCAGTGAACCATTACTGCAGTACTCGTAGATAAGAAGCCTTTGACCATGCTCTGCACAGTAACCGATGAGCTCAACAACATTAGCATGCCTGATTCTGTCAATGTTGTTTACCAGTTCAAGAAACTCATCATCCTTCTGCTGACTGGAAGCTCTCTTGTCCAATTTCTTGACTGCAAGTAGCTACAAAAGCATCCCAAAAGATTAATGTCAGTTTCTGAACTGTTCTGTACATATAAACAGAAACTGCTTGATTCCATGAGATAAAAGCACATGACACAGAAAAAAAAAAGAAATAATTCTCTTCGTGAAACTCTTTCTCCCAAGCCAATATATTTTTGCAAAATGTCGATAAGACTGCATCTAATTTTATGTCTTTATAAAGCATATCTGTTTCTTCTTATCTGCTTAAAAGGTGAAATCCAATAGATATTATGACGTCCTCCTCAGTTTGCTTATCAAGTTTGACAGCTTGCTTTTGATCACCCTGAATTTGCTTATTTATCAAGCTTGACACTAGATTTCATTGAAAATGGAAACTCTCTACACATCAAATCATTTGCTAGAAACTTATCACAGAATGAACATGAAGGATTGAATCTACATATAATGAATTCAATGCACCCATTCCATGTGGTTATTTTGATACTAGATCAATCATACTGTTCAGAGAAAAAACTCAGATGGTTGGAAGTACAAATAGCAGATAATAAATAAATTGATAAACAAGAAGGCTATTTAAAACAATCAATCAATGCTGGTGGACCTAGCACAACAATACTACAAAAGTGCAAAATAACAAGCACCTAACACAAATTTCAGTCAACTACTCATCCATGAAGTAGTTGCAATAAAGCAAAACCAATTCATAAATCAGAAACAGACCTTTCCATTAGGAAGCTGTGCCCTATAGACACTTCCCAGCATGCCTGCTCCTAGAAGATTATCAGGAGAAAAGCTGTTTGTATATTGCTGAAGGGAAGCAATGGTAAAAGACTTCGCAAAAATTGCAAGGTTTGGATTTTTAGTGGAAGGCTTCAGTTTAGGCAGTTCAGTTGGCACAAATGGCTTCACAATGACCTTCTCAACAGGTGGTGGTGGAGGAGGGGGAGGAGGGGGAGGAGGAGGAGGAGGAGGAGGAGGCGTCAAATACATATCAAGTGCACTCAAATCAGACTCTTGCCTTGTTACTGTGCCCGTCCTTTGGACATTTCTATCTTGCTCATCATTTGGCTTTGGAATTGCCCATGTTCTTCTGGTTTCTGTTTCATTATCCTCTTTGGGCCTCACAACTGCCTCTTTCGGAACTGTTCACCATAATTTTAGTGAGTTGCTTACAATAAGATGCATAAATATGAACGATCCAAGAAAGAACAATATACTTAAATTAGATTGAATAAAAAAAGTGTGAGAATTTGCCTTTCTGTATTAGATTTGTTGGTTGAACCAAGGAACCATTGTCCCTGGGAGGGTTCTCCCTGTCACCTATATATGCACCTATTTGATGCCGCTTGGAAATTCTGTCCGCCTCTTCTCTTCTGCCACGTCTTGGCATAAAAAACAAAATTGCTAGTACCAAAATAACAAAAAGCAAGACCCCACCAATTGATATCCCAACTACCCTTTTAGTAGTTAAAAATTTCTTTGATTTTCCAGAATTTGATGTATCTTTTGAAGATGGTCCATCAGCCTGTTTCCCAGGTGTTCTTCCAGGTGTTCTGCCAGGTGGTTTTCCAGTAGGTGGTCCCCAAAAAGACACTGGAGGTGGGGGTGGAGGCAACAGAGATGTGGGTGGAGGGACTGGAGCAATAGAAGAATTAAATGGATTCCCATCTTTTCTGCATTAAGCATATAAGAATTAGTTATGTGGAAAAACAATTATAGTATCCAAATTATCAAGCTCTCTTTCCTTGATAACAATGTATAACAAAGATCAACAACTTAGATTCTGCATATGATATACTGC